ACACACACACACACACACACACACCCTGAGCCATTAGTCAGTGCTCACAGGATGTGTTGGGATGACTCTCAGCTACTACAGTGATGCTGAAAGACTTCAGTAAATCTCATCTCATCAGTCTTTATTTGTTCCAGCATCAGTGGGTCAACAGCTGTTATTAGAGTGGAGTGGATCCATCATCACTCTACATGATGGCAGCACGTTGAAAAACAGGACCGATGATGATGAAATCATAAAAACATTAATAATAGGGCTGCAAAGATTAGTCGACTTTTAAAAAACGTAGATAATTTAACAGTTGATGCTTGTTTTTTTTCCTAACTTTGTTTTTGTCTCCAAACTGCTGCTCCTGCCTGTCTGTCCCTGACACACATGTACAGCAGTGATAATTAGGCCTGCCACAAACCTTTATTTTTATACTCCACTAATCACTGATTACTGGACTATAAAAATAAATAAAAATACACAGTTAGAAAATAAATGACATGTCGACTATTAAATTAGTTGTTGACGATTTTTATAGTTGACATAACCATGACTAGACAACTAATTCGTCAACTAGACAGCCCTAATTAATAACAAAATGATGATTAATATTTTAAAGTGTATATAATCTAATGTTGTGCTCCTCCATGTTGTCACAGATGCTAACAGTGGACATTAGGAGGAGCTCACTCTAGTGTTATTATATAAACTCTGTGGGTCAGACTCTTCTCTAACAGAGTGTAAACAAAAACACCTCAGTTATTAATGAGATCGAGAATAACTTTTGTTTTGAAGTCTTGACCTCATTCAGTTATTTCTCAGTTTAAACATCTGCAGGTGATGTCATCAGCCAGGTGAGGCTCCTCACTGAAACTAAACCCAGGCAGGTTGGTGACNACACACACACACACACACACACACACACACACACACACACACACACACACACACACAGGGTAGAAACCAAACGTTACAAAAGACACACAAAGAAATGATGCTAAAACATGAAATCACCATGTGGACCACCGACTCACTCCAGTCCTTTGGGGGGAGGGGGGTTCATGTAGTGGTAGGAGGTACTGGTTCTGGTTCTGTGGAGTGGTCTTCAGAACCAGGCCTCCAGAAATAAAAAAGACAAACCAACCTAAAAGCAGCCAAGAGTCAGTTTTAGTGTCGTTTGTTTCCTGGATCTGATCCGGACTCAGAAACCTGCAGGAAGACTCAGGAGTCCCTCAGACCGTCTGTGAGAGGACCAGAACCAGGTGGTTTGGATCGGATCGGATCAGAGTACTTCCCTTTTGTCTGGTGTTGGGTGGGGGGGCTGGTGTGCTCTTCCATCAGGGGTCTGCAGACCCAGATTTATGTGCCTCAATGTTAGCAGTTCTTACTCTGACCCGGGTCTGGGATCAGAAGAGGTCCCACAGACCAGTCTGTAAAGAGGAAGCAGAGCAGCAGCTCGGCCCGGGGTCCCCCTGCAGGCGGGGGGTCTATATGAGGGGCTCGGGGGGCAGGGCGTGCTGGATCTGCTGCGGCTGCAGGGGCGGGGGCAGCTGCAGGGGCAGCAGCGCCTCCACCATGCTGTGGCAGGGCAGCGGCGGCGTCCCCTCGCTGCCGGAGCTCTCGGCCATCTCACCGCCGTGGAAGAAGAAGTCGCTCTGGACGATGAAGGCCTCGATCACGGCCTGGTTCAGCTTGGTGGTGGACAGGGTCTCCTTGTTCTCAAAGTCCGGACGCATCAGGGTGGGCCAGAAGCAGATGGACAGGTTGTCTGCCGTCATCAGGGTGGTCTTACTGTGCTGGCTCACTCTGAAACAGGTCCACAGAACCAGACAAACACAACGTTACAGCAACAGAACCAGAACCTGATCCTCAACCTGTCTGAGACCCTGAGGTAGACCTTCAGAGACCTGAACAGACCCTCAGTGAACTGAAGCGACAATGGAAAGACTTGGTCCAAAGGTGCTCCACACCCACTGAGGCTCTACAAGCTTCTGGATCAGGACCCAGTCTCTGACCCGGTTTCAGTAAGACAAATAGAGGGGAGGGGGTCCATACCTGTTCAGGTGTGTGATGATGTATTTGAAGACCTGGTAGTTGACAGAWGGAAACTTCTTGATGATCTCCCTCAGTACCTGAACCCGCTCCATGTAGTCCATGATTTCTGACAGAGACACAAGAGATGTTGGGACCCGGGACATGAACATCCAAACTGGACCAAKAGAACCAGACCAACAAAACAGAACCAGATCAACAGAACAGAACTGGACCGACATGACTTCTTTTGGTCCTTCAAGATGTTACACCCGGAAGGTCAAAGGAATGACTTTAAGAACCAAGAGAAAACTGGTCCAGTTAGTCCTGATGGTCCAGTTAGTTCTGTTGGTCCAGTTAGTCCAGTTAGTTCTGTTGGTCCAGTTAGTTCTGTTGGTCCAGTTAGTTCTGTTGGTCCAGTTAGTCCAGTTAGTTCTGTTGGTCCAGTTAGTTCTGTTGGTCCAGTTAGTCCTGTTGGTCCAGTTAGTTCTGTTGGTCCAGTTAGTTCTGTTGGTCCAGTTAGTCTGTTGGTCCAGTTAGTTCTGTTGGTCCAGTTAGTCCTGTTGGTCCAGTTAGTCCTGATGGTCCAGTTAGTCCTGATGGTCTAGTTAGTTCTGTAGGTCCAGTTAGTTCTGTAGGTCCAGTTAGTCCAGTTAGTTCTGTAGGTCCAGTTGGTCCAGTTAGTCCTGATGGTCCAGTTAGTCCTGATGGTCCAGTTAGTCCTGTTGGTCCAGTTAGTTCTGTAGGTCCAGTTAGTTCTGTTGGTCCAGTTAGTCCTGATGGTCCAGTTAGTCCTGATGGTCCAGTTAGTCCTGTTGGTCCAGTTAGTTCTGTAGGTCCAGTTAGTTCTGTTGGTCCAGTTAGTCCAGTTATTCCAGTTAGTCCTGATGGTCCAGTTAGTCCTGATGGTCCAGTTAGTCCTGATGGTCCAGTTAGT